AAACATAAAAAGATTATATGGGTGAGTCACTTTTGAGACGCACCCGGTATACAGGATGTCCCAATATTCCGTTGACACAAAACTACTACGTATTTTTGGAATCAAAATAAGTTCATTGGAGTCAATTTACCTCTATACAAAAGTGCTTCGTTTGTCCGTTAGAGAGCATGACATTTAAAAAAATAAACGCGTTTTTTAAGATAGGTATTTTAAGAACAGATATTCCGATTTGAATGAGATTTTGGGTAGAGAGAATTGTAGAATGAGTAAGAGGGGGGGGAGGGGGGTTAATCACTGCCAGGGCCTATTTTTCATCTGGTCGGGCCCTAAGGCCTAAGCAAAAATTTGGGCCTTCTTTTCCAGTAAAATTCAAAAATTCTCTTGTTAGTTTGGGTTAAAAAAATAAAACAATTATTTTTATTTTTATTTTTTTAATAATTTAAAAAAATAAATAAACATTATTATATTCAACAAAATAAATAATGAAAAAAGAAATTAATTCTAATTTTAAAAAATAAATATTTTTTTTAACAAAACCGAGAACAAAAGTTAGGTACCTAAACAAAATTTCTAATAGTAAATTGACAAAATAAAAAAACCTTTCTTTTAGTGAACAAAAAACAAAGTAAACAATAACAATAAATAATAAATACACAAGTAAATATAATTAAAAAAAATGAAAATATTTATATAACAAAACTTAAACAAACTCTTCTTCACAAACAAAAAAAGCACCAATACCTGCCCTAAAACACAATGGGAAATTGATTTTAGACCCGGTAGATCTGTGCAGCACATGGAAAAGCTATGGACAATTATTATTTGAAGACCAAAGAGAAGACAGACAACCTCTCAGTTGTGAAGACTGGTCGGGCCCGGAAATTCTTGAATCTGAAGTTCAGCATGCTATGAAAGCTATGAAAAATCGAAAAAGCCCCGGTCATGACAACGTGCATGCAGAAGTTCTTAAAATATTTGACTCAAAGCATCTCACATATCTATTCAATCGAATATACGATACGGGTGAAATTCCAAACGACTTGCTAAAATCAACTTTTATAACAATTCCCAAAAAGGTATCTCCAAAAGACTGTAGTGACTACAGACTTATAAGTCTAATGAGTCATGCTCTGAAACTTTTTCTTCGAGTCATGCATGGTCGTATATACTCGAAATGTGAAGAAAAAAGCGGAGAGACACAGTTCGGCTTCATCAAGGGGCTGGGTACCAGAGAGGCTTTGTTTTCAATCAAGCTACTAATCCAGAAATGTTATGATCAACGCCAAGATGTCTTTGTGTGCTTCATAGATTATCAGAAGGCTTTCGACAACGTTAAACACGATATTCTCCTAAACAGACTGCTCGAGATAGGAAAAGACGCCAAAGACATTAGAATCATACAGGAACTATATTGGAACCAAACCGCAGAGATAAGAGTTAACAAAAATTTATCCACAGACACCTTCAATGTCTGTCAACGAGTCCGCCAGGGCTGTATACTGCCACCAATACTTTTTAATATATACGTCGAAAAAATATTTCAAATGGCCCTGGAAGGAGAAAGTGGAGGAATTAAGATTAACGGAGTTCCAATTAACAATATAAGATATGCAGATGATACGGCAATACTAACACCAACTTTAGAGGATCTCCAGAAAATAATAAATAAGATAGGGGACATGGGAAATCGTTTCGGTCTTAAAATCAACGCTGCCAAGACCAAACTTATGGTAATAGGACGCCAGCCTACAATCAACACCGCATTGACCGTGGATGGAAATATTATAGAGCGAGTTCCACGATTTAAATATCTGGGTGCCATGATCAATAAACGATGGGACTGCGATGAGGAAGTTAATCTTAGAACGAATTATGCAAAGTCAACATTTTTTAAACTTAAAAACTTCCTATTAGCATGCAGTCTCCCGCTAACACTTAGACTACGGGTAGTAAAATGCTACATATGGCCTATCTTACTATACGGCGCAGAAACCTGGTCTCTCAAGGCTAGAACCCTAAACCGCATCGAGGCTTGAGAAATGTGGACTCTCCGGAGACTCTTACGTGTGCCATGGACCGCACATGCCACCAACGAAGAAGTTTTAAGAATTGCAGGCTATGAACGAGAAATGCTTAGCATAGTTAAAGAAAGGAAAGTCTCATACCTCGGCCATATCCTTAGAGGAGACAAATATTACATTCCTAAGCTGATTCTACAAGGAAAAATAGAGGGACGGCGAGGCCCAGGAAGAAAACAACATTCCTGGCTAAGAAACATAAGGGATTGGTGTAACATCAGCGACGCAGCCACCATATTTCGAAGAGCCGAAAACGGCAGTCTACACATTGTATGAAGAGTACAGACAATCGCCAACGTGCGGCTAAGCACAAGGCACAGGAAGAAGAAACAAACTCTCCCACGTAGGACGAAGTGATATTTAGTTATTTTTAGATTGGGGAATCGCCGATAAATAATTTAAAAAAATGCATTAATTATATCAATCTAAAGCTTATTTTATTTAATTCTATTTTCCTTATCAGAAGTATCTGTTTTTTTTCTCTGCTATGTAAATTTACATTTGAAATTATGAATATTTTACGACCCTTAACGGGCCCCCCAGACCACCGGACTCAAGGCCCGGGCCTTATGGTAAAATAGGCACTGATCACTGCGGCCTTAAAGATCTATTGTGCCCCCCTTCCTTGAGTCATCATACAGTCTATAACCCATCATACCCCTGTTATAGAGGGGACAGGGTATTTTCCATCCTCCTCTGACAACGGTTCTTCTTCCGAGAGTACACACCTTTCCACGGTTGGAGTTTGGCCCTCCGTGCCGCCCTTCACAGTCGAGGAGCTTGCCTCCGGCTGAGGAACCCGTGAGGTGGAGGCTGGAGGATCTGTCTCCATTTTCTCCACCTCGTTAACTTGGTCTCTCCTTAGACCTGATACCAGTGTTGTTCCGTATGTATAATAGAGGATATGTCCCTCTTTTTCTATTGCCTCCTTGGATTTTAGGTCAATTCCTATTGTGAGGACCTGACCATGACCCTCCTCCCTCGAGTTGATGGCTCGCCAACTCGATGTCCTTACATTGAAGTTTTGACCGTTCTGAGGTGGTGTTTTTCCCCTTGCTCCTCGGCAGAAAGACCGTGATTGCCGCCCCTTTAGGGATGTTTTCTCTCTTCACTTCAACTAGTTTCGGCCCCTGCCAATTTTTAAGCTTAGGTGCGATTTCCACCAACCAATTCGCCGATTCTTGAGATACACAATCTATGAGGATCATGCTCACCCGAAAGTGTATCCCCGCAAAACGCAGCGGACCCACATTTTGTAGATCGTTGTGTTGTGATCTGATCGCCACTACTTCGTCCAGTATAGCCTCTTCTAGAGAGGTTTGCTGGTCGGTGGTCAGAGGAAATCTCGGTGGTCTCTGGGAAATCCTTTGCCACCACCGCCATTTTCACTTGTCCAGCAATAGCGGCAAAGCTAGTCATACGTCCCTGCTTGCCTCCCGGTGTTGGACGTCTTTCCATCCTGGCTTTTTTCTCTCCCTACCGGAGAAGAGGTGAGAGGTTCTCGCTCCCTCTCTTGCCCATTGATGGAGATGAGTCAGGTTGTTTCTTGGTTTCTTTACCCTCCCCTTTTCGGAGGAGTGTTTTCGCTTTTGCTTCCTCTGAAGCAAGTCCTTCGTGGAGCAGTCGGAGGTATCTCCGTGCTTCTGCTCCGCTAAGATCTACTCTCAGAGGATCGTCTAGCCTGCCTGGTTGACCCAGGCCGGGTAGACGAAACGGTAGCTTGTGCCGCTTATTGGGTCTAGAGGTAGGCTCCCGACCCTTGCTGGAGAAGGTGGTAGCTTGTGTGCCACTTGTGGAGGATGATCCCAAGCAAGTGTCAGCCGCTCCTCTTGTAATTTCCTTTGGATTTGGTCCCTTGGAACTTTCATTCTTCCAGTGTCGCTAGGGAGCTTCCCCACAGCTTCACCGGTGGTGTTTTTAGTACTAGATCTCATAGCGTTCCCACGATTCGCTAGGGATAGTCGGTCCACGTCTATAGAACCCCGCATGTAGAGGTAAAGGGTAAATACAATGGGGTGCCCCCTGATGCCTCAAGGTTGAGGCCAGTAATGGCTAGTCCTCTATCTAGCCACGCATCCCTTTGACCTGGTCCCGCCATCGTAGGGTTTAGGTTTTTGGTGAGGTTGTCTCCTCTTGGTCCAGGCGGTTAAGCCAAGACCCCCCCTCACACCCTCTACCCGCGAAACATGATCACAGTCAGTAGAGGGTGCCCGATATGACGGACAGGGGTAGCCCGTCCGGCATCGTTATATGTCTTGGTGCAATTCCCTGACCACGACACTACAGCCAGGGACAAGACGATGAGTGAGATGCTTGTTAGACCAAGCCAAGCGCTAGGGTGATTCCTCCCAGCACCTGACCAGGAGCTTCCCCACCAACGACAAGGTCTTGCATCTCCTATGAGAATGTATTGTTATGCTAAGCGTTTTAACATTTCACTTTCACAAATATTAAGAAAAAGCACGGAAAGCGTGAAAACTACCCCCACCCCTACATCAATTTTAGTATAAATATTTTCCAACTCAACCGATGACATTTTTTGTTTCTTGTAAAAAATGCCACATCGCATAGTTTTTGAGAAAAAAGATTTGAACAAGTGAAGAAACGATTTGGTGTGTCTAAGTTTTGCCATTTGGCTTTAGCATTTGACATCCATAGAAAAAAAAATACACAAAAAGGGTGAAATCTCCCCCCACCCCTTCATATATTCTAGTAGAAATATGTTCCTTCAACGTCAACTTTTTTTTTGTAAAATGGTACTTCCATTTTTTGAATTGAAACAAAACGTTGACCTTAAAACTGAAACTAAAGGGTTTTTTTGATTGTCATATGGTCATAAAAAATCAAACTTTTTCAAAAATTAATTTTATCTTAGATAACGTAACGATATTGATTTGAAAAATATTCTTTTTTTTCCACTAGACTAAACGGACCTAAATCAGATGTACCCCATTAGGAATTAAAACACTCAATAATCGGGAGAGAACAAAATGTGGCTAAAAAGTATAATTTTGGCACTATTGACGTTTAAATGCTTGGCGTCACCTTTCGATTGGTTCAGTCCCAAAGATTTAAGTTTGATCATTCTGCATAATAATGATATGCACGGAAGATTTGAGCAGACATCCAGAAATGGAGGAACGTGTCAAACACACAAGGCACACCAATGTGTGGGTAAGTACGAGTATTTTTAAAGTATACAGTGTAGCATTATTTATAATACCAAACCAATATCAAATATTTAAATGGGATGGCTGAATACAATCTTAATAAAATAACAATAAAATTGGTATAATTGCAATACTAAATTAAGTTTTAAGGATAAAGGTTGATAGAATGTAGAATGAGTAATAGGGGGGCCAAATTCCTTGAGCCATCGCACAGTCTATAACCAAAGAATATTATAGTTTTAAAGAACGCTCGTGTGGAAGCTTTAGCGATTTGTCACACGTTGGAGCCTTTGAACATAATCGAAGCCTGAAAATGCAAATATTTTAAATTTTGAGGACTACGCGCGGCGATATTTCTTACGGTGTTGCCAAAATATATTTTATTTCTCGATATTTAAAGAAATATGTATTGATTATATATTTCGTATTCCTTAGTACATGAGGCATCCTAAGGAAGGTTATAAAAAAGTAGCTATGAAAATAAAATTTTAGATTTTTAATTTTTAGCCGACCATACCAATAAGTATGGTAGGCTATTAAGATCGGCAAAAAAAAGTTTTTTAATTTCACTCAAAATGAGTTATTTGGGTCATAAATGACCTAAATACAAAATATTTTCATGGTGTCTGTCTGTCTGTCCGTCTGTCCGCCTGTAACACGATAACTCAAAAACCGCTAAACCGATTTTAACCAAATTTGACTCAAAAATACTGTATGGCACCCGAGAATCTGGCCCGTGACCCTTCGAGGTGACAAAAAATTTGTACGTTTACCGGGTGCAGCGGAAGTGCTATTTTATCAGTCAGAACGCTGGCCGTATACGAGAGATCAACTAACTATAATTAACTTATATTTAACTTATTAACTTATAATTAACTTATTCTTTAAACTGTGATATTATTCTTTCTCAAACTACGGGTCAAAAACCTGGCCATAGCATTGTAGGTATTTTTTTAAATTTTAGACCTATATTTCTAAAATAACCGTCATAGAAATCTTAAATTACACTTTATTTACAGAAAATTTGTTTTTCTTTATTTATTGCTATTTATAGATGTTCACGCAGAACACACATGTAATTAAAAAATGAATTAGTATTTAATATCAGTATCCCAGAATCATGAAATTATATGTGAAAATGTAGTTATCATTTTATCACGCCATGCATGTGTTTCTTCCAGTAGATATTTACAGAAAACGCTGTCGAGTAGAGATGAGCCAAATTGCGATTGTAATTTATAAATCGCAGTGACTGTAACCTGCGATTGCGATTTTAATAGTTTATCTACAACCGTTTAGTTATAACGTTTTTACATCACTATTTTTTTAGTATTTCAGTTACGTTATGAGATTCATAACATAACTAGTGATGTTATGAATCTATAACACAACTAGTTTTTATAATAATGAAAAACAACTACGAACATCTAAAGATATTAACTATTCCGGCAATAATGAATCGGTGGCACGTACTGCGGCAACCGGCAACTTCTACATCTGAAGGGAGACTTTCGGAATCGCTCATCGTAATTTTTAAAATTATTTTTCTGGGCAAAATGTGCTCGCGTTTACTTGACAGGGCAATCTGACTTTTCAGAAAAAAATGTGACAAATGTCATAGAAAGGTGTTAAAGGTGGGCGATTAATAAACGAAAATTAAAACAGCATTTTCTTATTTTTCGGTTGTAGATAAAACGTGGTACATTACACGTGCGTTTAAACATGATTACAACACTCGTGTGATTAGAACGACTCGGTCTACGACTTCGTCGTTCTAAAGATGCCATTACACGGCGTGTGGAGCGCCGATCCACGCTCCAGGCGCGTGGAGCGCCGCGCCAAGACGCGTCAAGGCGCGCCTCACAGTGCGGCAGATGGTAATTCTAGCGGGACAAAACCTCAGGAGCGATGTTTGGGACTTAAAATCTAATAACGTAGCAAATAGCAAATGGTTTAATATATGTATAGCATCCATATGGGTTAAATTTATTTATTTATTAACAACTTAATTTATTAATAAATAAATAAACACAAGATAATACAACTATTATATTATTCGTACGTGATACACAAAAACCGTACTGTAAACTATTGCTAAATAAATAAAATTATGATATCAGGTAAATACTTATATTTATTTTAGCAGTTATTTTTTAATTACTTTGTGATCTTGTGACACCCTGTATATTTTATTTTAATTTTTTTTATTTAAAAATAAATAAAATAGTTATTTTAATTTTAATTTTAACACTCTGTAATTGTAAATTCATATATAGTAAGTATCTAAGACAATTTTTAAAACTTTTATTAGAACTAGTAATAATCAGTTAGTTTTTATTAAAAATTATGAGAAAGTAAAAAAGGCTTTTGCATATAGTCATGCTTTACTTAACTACAACATCATTTGGATGTTTTTGTCTTGAGAAAAATTGCCGAACTGACTACTGGTGTCATTCCTTATTCATTTCTATTCCTACCTCAGTGTCTTTCGATAGAGTTTCAAATAAGGTTTCAACGATTACAGCAGCATCCCTACTCCCACTAGCCATTAAGCTCATAATACTTGCAAAGCGTAATTCTTATTTTCAATGTTCTTCAATTACCCTTTAATGAGTCTTTGTTTCGTTATTATACTAGCCAATTGAAATAAAACTTTTGGGCGTCCACCTGTTAAGCTTGAACTCTAAAAAAACAAGGGAAATGATCGCAGATGGGTCTTAACACCTTCCTTTTCTTCGTTACTAAGAGAGTTGGGATCTAAAAATTGCATCTCGATATCCCACAAAACGGTCAAGAGATGATGTTGGTTTTTTCAAAAAGAAACGCCTTTTTTTCCTTGAGAGCTTCAAAAAATTCTTGGCAGCTGAATCGGTGCGAGACTCCTAAATTTTTTTTTCAACAATTTGGCAACACCGGTAAAAATAAATATGGGCATTGAAATTGAAACTACAAACATTCTAGCATCAAAATTGCTTAATACTTTTGGGTAACTATTGGTAACTCAAAAGATCTACATCATTCAACATATCGACTTTTGAAAAAAAATGGAAGTTTGATATCTGCAGAACAAAGACACGAAGAATTTTAACGAATAATATACGTACAGTATAAAAGTACATACCTTTGGCAATCTCCAACATAATTTGGTTTTGGAATAGAATGTATATAAGCACTTATAAATATTTTGTTTCGTATGATATTTTTATATCAGTTGGAATGAACACTATTTATTCTTATCAGTACACATTTTTTGGCTTATTTTTACAAACAAAACGGTTTTGTCCCGCTAGACTTATCAGCCACCACAGTGTGCGCCGATGGGACGACCGATCGGCAGGCAGAATACAAAAAATGCATTATATAACTTTTTAACATATATTATCGGTTTAAATTGGGTTTAAATAAAATCGAATAATTTATTTCCCAACTTTATTTTCAGTGCAGTTTATTAGATAACAGGGTGGAAAGCAAAATCATCTGGTTAAATTAAATTAAATAAGATAATAATACTTTTTTAAACTAGGTGTATTTATGTTCAAAAGTTAAATAATTATTTTTTTACCTTAATTATGAAAATAATTAGAGTATATTGTATTTTCAGAAAGCCCATAACAAGGCAAAAAAAATAAAAAAATAATACACTGGGTGTCATTTACAAATAGAAGTCAGATTTCGAAAATGAGAGTTACGAGCGAAACTAGTTAACGTCACTGGATTCTATGTAAAAAACTCAACGAGACTAAGTTTTCACCTTTTCGATAAGTTAACCAATATACGATGGGATCGAAAAATGCAACATTTTAAAATTCGCCCTGTATTTTAGGAACTAATAAGACTAGGACAACTCTTGTAGCATCTTTGGTTTCATAAAAAAGTAGCATAGTGATGTGAAAACCGCATCTTTAGAAGTATAAATGCAATAAACAGTATTCAAAAATACAGTAATTATTACTCATATATACATAAGTCACCTCAGCAAAATTTATCTAGTGTTCTTACCATTTATATAACATTTAAAATAAATAATAATAATTATTTTAAGCAATAACATGGTAGAGTATATTGGGTATACCCTGTATTTTCAGTAATTTTCCACCTAATTAATATAATATTTATAGATTTCTTTAAGCGAATATCAAATTATGCATTTTCGCATCAAATGGAGATATTTAAATAAATTATGTAACAATTTAAATTTAACTAAATTCAAAAAATTACTGGCAAAAATTGTTCGCGGCGCGTTTGCTTTGGAGTGTGCAGTTTACCGCCAGTCGACGTGTAACTGCTCATATATACATATGCTCATATACCAAGCCCGTGGCGCGAAAATCACACGGAGCGTGGAGCGACAGTTGACGGTCTAGGCGCGGCGCTCCACGCGCCGTGTAATGGCACCTTAATCGTTTACACTCGTTGTAATCATGTTCATAAATACACTTGTACTGTAAATAACTATTATATAAACTCACCGGTAAAAAAGCCGGCCACTAAAAACTAGACCAATTTCAAAGTTGGATATCTCGCGAACCACTCATTAGATTTTGATGATTTTTCTTTTAAATTGTAAATTAATTCCTTTTTAACGGATGCTACGTCAGAAATTTTTATTCCGAATTTATTTTGGGCATATACAGGGCACAACAATAAGACGAAGTTTTTTGCCCGAACTTTGTAACACCCTGTAGGGTGCAGCAGCGGTAGTAGCTATTGCTAAATCAAATCACATTGTAGCCTCAACTTTTGTGAGCATTTTGTTTTTCTAATCACCATTGTGAGGCTCCCCCGTTTTTGAGAAAGCTCACGGACGCCGAGTTGCCTTGGTTCGGTTCCTCGGGCGCCACCCCCAACGTTTAATGTGTTTGAGAGACCACTAGTGACAATACGGGTAGCTTTTATACAGTGGAGATACCAGGGAGTGATGAGATGAAAAGAAAATAAAACACACAATTAACTATAACGTAACACTAGGTTTTAATTTAACTAATTAATTATGTACAGAAGTAA